TTAAGGAAATCATATTTTATTAGACCTAGAGTTAATTCTCAACGTTTTAAAAACTCATTTGTAAATAGAATAATCTTTAGTAATTAGCATCTTTTAATCAGTTGTTAGTTTTATGATTGTAATCAAGTTAATGATATGCGTATTTTATCATTTCTTTAATAAAGACATTATTATTATTATTATTATTATTATTACAAAGAAAAGGTGACAAAGCGATCATAACTAAGTATTTTCCAAGAAACATGACGTTCAGTGATCACGTGATCAGAAGGGTGACGTACCTGTTCATAAGATACCACGTGACAGGAGTTCCAACAGCAACCATACTCGTCCTTATTGCCATTATCGTGTAAATATTCCCAGGAAGGTGGGTCACGTATATCATGATCGCGAAATATGTCATGGAAACATTGAACCTAAAAAATATATAATATTAAAAAATTAGTAGCAATGCTAGTGTTCCCTTTCGCGACCAAACACAAGAGGCACTGGGTGGAATAACTGACTGTGTTTCATCTTATCATTCTCGTCAAGAAAATAATGTTGATATTACATATATGTATAATATTCAGTGCTGCATACGATGATCATAATTAGTAGAAGGGGATCCCTCTGGCAGTGATGAACCCATTTTAATAGCTCCTTGATTATTCCTGTTTAGCTGTTTAGATATATGCCCACAATCTCATATTACCTACGGCTCCAGCATTCTTGTCATTTTTTTCATTCCTATTTAAATTATTATTAAATAAAACATTTTCCACTTTTACCATCCAAACCAAATTATCAGTGACCATTTTCTCAATTTTGGAGTTTTCAGAAGGTCCAGAGGAGTGTGCCTCTTATGATCATCCTTTTCTCTTCGAACCTGGTCCTTTCTGATGTCTTCCACCATCGACATCATTACCGCAGAATCTACATTCTTTATGCCTTTGCTTCCAAACTTCATTATCAATTGATGAGCCTTTTCTAGCTTTCCGTGAACCAACAACCATCGCGGAGACTYGGGAAACACTCTGGCAAAGAATCATAATACAATCCTGACATTGGCAGCATAGTTAGAGCAAAACAATTTAGACAACCAAAGGTACTTTCGGACCTATGATACTGCGCATCCATTTCGCGCATCTCGTTTTTTACCGTTTATTGCTTTGAAAATTTCTCCAAACATTTCTTGCTTTTATTACCTTGATTTCTATAATCTGACAAAATATTTCGTAATTTCATGCAAATTAATTTTGAGGTAAAATTGGGCGTTTTTCGAAACATGCTAAGATTTTCATTGCCTGACCTAGTCGGTTTTGTTCCAAAATTGTAAAAATATACGACTTTGTAAAAATGAATGAACAAAAAATTATTTTGACCTCCCTAGTTCCAAAATCAATTCAAAATAGGTTTTAGGGTCTCTGGAGATTACAAATACAATTTCACAAGTTTTAGGAGAACGTATAAGGTACTAGGTCCGCGCTGACAGGAATGGTGATTTTGGATGGAAAATTCAGATTTTTTGTCGCTTATAGCTCGTCTATTAGTACGGTGACCCCCTTATTTTCATCTTTGAAATCCTTTACTTTCCACACAAAGCCTATATTTATTACCTACGTATATTTGGAACAAAATGAGAATAATTGGAATTACCCCCTATTACGATCTCTCATAACTCGAGAACCAAGTCGGTGACCCACTTTTCTCCCACTTTTTTGAATAAGCACCTGAAGATCTACGACTACAGATTTTATATTACATTTTAAGCAAAAGTTTGCTTCTCTGGTCAACACAAGATAAGCAATGCGCGCTTATGCCGAAAATCAAAGTTTTCCGCTCTTTTCCTGTGGGCAGACCCGGGTACAGCGGAAGTCAACGTTTCCCACTCTTTTCAGTTGGGTAGCCTACGTTGACCGGAAGCCAAGATTTTCCGTTCTTTTTATGCGATTACACGCACACGCTAGCTTTTATCGACAGTTACTTACTTCCAAAATAGGTACATGATAAATGGAGGCATACTTGTTATCCATACATAGGTCCTCCATTCTCGAACAAAGTAAGCTATTAGAACAGCAGTCAAGGTTCCTAAACTCCAGAAAATGTTGTTTACGTTGCCAGCCACTGCTCGGTACCCTGGACCAATAAACTCCAACATAAGAATGTACTGAGACAAGGTTGTGCTGATCATAAAGGCTCCACTTCCAAAACGTAAGAATCCAAATAAAGACTCACAGTCGACGAAGGACTGAACTACTCCACAAACAGCCTAAAAAATAGAAAGAAAACTTTAGCTATGAGAAAATAAACGGGTCAATTTTGTTGTAAAATCATAGAAAAGAGAAAAAGAACGAGGGAAACTTCTTCGTCCTGGTTGACGATAACTCATTCTCTTCTTGCACCTCGCCCTAGCCATGGTTCAAAATGTGCAGACGATAACTGCTATTCTTTCCAGCACCTACATGCATACCATTAACCTACCATGAGTCCAAAGGTACTGAATATAACTGTTCTTCTTCCATAGGCGTCAGACAAGATTCCAGACACAAACGAACCAACCAACATCCCAACGAAGAACATGGACTGGATGATGGCTGTTATATGTGCACGATCACAAATCAGGTTCCACTGCAGAACAATAGAAACTACAACTGACGATATATGTTCCTTATGATTTCGAACCATTGTATCGAGTGATTTAGATTTCCAGCTTTAACAAAAATATACTTTCTGGTAATGTTCTCAAAATACAAGGATCCGCGCTTGGTATCACTAGCCAAAATTCCCCGTAATTATTTTCTCCACTCCTTATTAATGGAGAGGGCTCTCTGCACTCCTCATTAACGGAGAGGGGCGTGAGTTGGGAGCCAAACTTATATCTGCTGTGGAGGTTATTTTAAAAGAAAGCTGTCCGACTGAAAACCAAGGGCATATTTATTTCATCTGAATATGATACCACAACATATTTCTCGTCAATCAGCATGACAGTTTCACAGTGTCAAAGGTTGTGGAAATGAAATAAACGCGGACTATAGGTTCTAAAATAACAAAACACAAGATTTCCATACTTTCTTCGAGAAGTTCTTACTTGCCTCTCTCTTGATCAAGAACGAAACTTTACCTCTCTCGCACATACTACTATGTCATTTGGAAATTTTAGAGATCCAAATTAGTGGTCCAAATGGGGTTTCCAGCATTTGCACCCTCCTTGCAAACCTTCAGTTTATGACTGTTATAAGTCTTTTATGGTCTGCAGTCAGCCACCGGCACCCCAATCTCTTGTTTTTTTTGGTGTTGCAGTATTTGTATATTAACGGTAATATTTCGTAGCGTGTAAAATTAGTACTTTTAAGAATAAAAGCGACTTTGCTTGATAGCTTGTTGTTGCTTGGTCGGTTGCTTAAAGTGCATATCAGGGTTCGCTGGTTTCAATTCTAAAATAAAGTTTGTGTTGTATAAAGAGGATTTTAGGTATTAAAATTTCAAAAATTATTTTTCGTGTGTAATTTTTTGGGTCAAAGTTGGCAAAAAAGCATGATTTGGGCTCCCTTTAGAAACATTTCGGAGCTGTTGAAAGGGATTGGTACCGAGTTTTTGTGACGTCATTTACGGGACTTGTTGATCAACAGTTCAAGGGTTTTTCCTAGTAGAAACGTTCGTAGTGTTACGGAAGCTTATTGAAAATATTGAAAATCAAAGATAAATTTAAGTTTTATTATTAAGATGCCCGACCGTTGTGTTGTCGGAGGTTGTGGTAATGAGAACAGCCGTAAGAACGGCATCTCGTTGCACAGAATTCCGTTTTTTGGTGATGATCGTCCAGAAGCCGTGAGACGCCGCAAGAAGTGGGTTGACTTCGTTCTTCTCACAAGAAAGAAATGGAGTGCGACTTCTATATCTGCGATTTGTTCCGACCATTTTAAAGCGGAAGATTATGCGCGACAGTTTATCGCGATTGACGGACAATCAGCGCCTAACAGTCAGAGACTTGTTCGAGATGACATCGGTATCGTTGCCATACCATCCATTACTACAAACAAGAAGGCTAAACCTGCATCTGAGTCGGCTGCAAAACGATCAAGGCGAATGGTAAGAATACCATCCACTTT